GGGGGGGGAAGGTTCAGTGGCGCAGCGCTCGGGGGGGGGGCGGTGTTACAGCGAGGCAGCGTTCTTCTTTTTTGCCTGGGGCGGCAAAAAAGTTAGATCCGGCCCTGATGGTACCATCCTTATTAAGGGTGTACTACCCTTCTCCCTCAGTAAAATCTTTACTGAGGATATGAGTAGATTCAATCTTACTAGGTTACTTCAGTGCCAATGTAAGTTATGGGAAATGGTGGCCTTTCTGAGTAAGGGAAAATGGTGAATATAATGGGAAAGAAATTATTATTAATTTTAACTGCATCCTAATGTCTACAAATGTGCATAAATCACTAGTTAGCAATGATTTTTAACTATATGGAAAGTATGAATAGTAATGAATCACTCATTAGTTAGCAAAGGAAATTCTACAAAAGGTGAGACCACTGAGAAAGTTATCTTAAAGGTCCCATTTTAAATTAATTTTAACTTGTAAACTAAATTACATTGTATTTTCGAGGAAATGTCTACCCACAGATTATGTGCTGTAAATATACACTGTATTCCTCATGCAAAACAAAGAGGTTGAAACCCTATTTGAAGTGCAAAAACAAGACCTAAAAATATATAGCCACTGCTCTACTTCTTTAATAAGTCCATTACTCTTTACTCAGTCAAAACTCTACTAAAATCAGAGTGAGCAACATGGTATTTGGCTTATTATCACTGAGAAATGTAAATAAAACCATGGACACTGTTTCTATGGATGCACTAAAACAATGTTTTGTCTTCTGTCAGTTGCCTCAGCAGAACCTATTAACACTGTTACCACACCTGTGATGGTATTATCAATGTTGCTGGATATTTTTGCATGATAAGGTACTGTACTTTATTCTTAAACCAAAAAAATACCTGTTCAACTGTATTCTAACCACCATTGAAAATGTTTTTTGTGGGAAATACAGGGAGAAAATGTTATTGTCAAGCTCCTTAGAAACAAAGGTCAGAACTTTTTTAAGATTTTTAACATTTTGAAGAAATGACATGATGGTGTCCTTTTAATTGAGGAAGAAGATCCTTTGCCTGTGAAAAATGAAATCCTCCACACTTCTCAACTACCTTTTAAACCCTTCAACCTGTCAGTGAAATTGTGTAATCTAGTAATAGCATGCCTGAGGCTGCCTTTTCCTGGGCAAGGGTATCAGCAAATGATGCGCTCTACTAATTTTAATCATATTGGGCCAGATCTTAATCTTGGTTATGTTGATGTAAATCCAGTGTAATTCTATTGTCTTCAGTGCAGTTACTCTAGGTTTATATTAGTGTAAATGAAATCAGATTCTAGCTTCATTTTTTTATGGTTCCATTGTAAGATTTTTAGAAAGTCACCAAACAAAGAAATTTATGGGTGAATTTTCACATCTTTTAATGAAAATCACTTATTGAAGTAGCATTCCTCTTTGGGTAATGGTTAAAATTGTCATGTAGCTATCAACATTTTGGTATAGAGGACTCAAGGTCACTGCTGTGCTAAATGCACACAGTAGTTGATTTTTCATTGCACCATAACCAATCTTAGTTGCATGTAGTTTCTTGGACTTTGTTACTAGAATTCCTGATTATTCATTAGCTGTAGTACTGAATTTAGAATCAGTTTGAATCAGATAGCAACATATTTTATATGTATTTGAATATGTAGACTAATTGGAAGTATGTAGACTTATACGTTTTATAAGTAACAAGACACAAGAATAAACTGTATTGAAACTTGGGGTGCAGTAATTCATATTTCAGTCAATGAAAGTTTTGCATTTGTAGTTACTCTGGGATGGGTTTTTACAATCTATCGATTCAGTAATTTTGTGTTAACTAATTCATAGCAGAGTTGATTAGTAATATCATCCTAATTGTTACCTGTATCAGAGGACTGTACCATGTCTGTGTAATGGAAATTTTTTTTCTCCAGTATAGGAAATTTGTTTTTGAAAACAGGTACTTCAAAGTATTAACCAGCCAAAAACTTTCATCCTGTAAATTATTATTTTGTAATTGACTGAGATGAGAACTATTAAATCATGCCGTTAACTTGGTGCCATCCCTGAAATGTCTTTCCTTCTCTTAGTGTTGGTATTACAGTGCTTGCCAATGTCAAATGCTTTCCCAAATTTGCAGAATGTGTGTAATCTGCAAAATATTCTTCAATTTTGTCCAGACATAGAATACAATTACCTAACTATAATGTTCACTAAATAAAAGTACTTTGCTAAATAAATAGATATGTTCTGAAATATAGTAAATTTTTGGTATTCTAGTTAAATATACAGTATCATACACTACTGTATCCCAATACATGCAAATTACAAATAAAAGAAAATCTTATTGCATTACATTTATGAATGTTGCTGTAATTTATAATATAAGAACAGCGTAGCTCCACTGTACATAATAGGGCTGTAATTCTAGTGAAGAATTCTGGTGACAAACTGAAAAAAAAGTATGAGTGGTTTGAGTTGGCAAACAGGATCCCTACATGGAAAAACGGCCTTAATTTATGAACATTTTAGGGTACATTTTTAAATATAACTCACAGATAAAGAAAAATAACCTGTTTACATAGTTTGTCTCTTGCCCACTTTTTCCATAGCTCAGTTTTCTTTTTTATTCTTCTTTCCCTGCCTTTTCAATCCACTTCTGCCTGGTGAGGTTTGACAGTTTGGTTTTTAAAGCTGTCCCTAAGATCATCTGATAAAAGTTCATTATGTACTTTTCTGAGATTATTTGCTTATGCATGTTTTCAGATGTTACTTTTTTTATAGGGGGAAATAAACTCTCTATTTTTGTTTTTATAAGAACAATGTAGAAATCCATAGATTATAAATGGCTGGTATAAACCTTATTTGTTTTTCTGACAAAGCAACTGTAAATTTAATATTACATGAACAGCTTGGAGGCAGGATCCAAAGCCCTCTTAAATCAATATTTTCCCTTTACTTCAGTGGGCTTTAGATCAGGCCTGCAGTGATTAATATTAAGTCTCCATTCTGCATTTTGAACCACTTAGGCTCAGCAGTCTGTGTGGGAATTACAATGCAGAATTGGGATTGAAGAGACATTTTTGAAAGTTTTAATAATAAATGGAGATATACCTATCTCATAGAACTGGAAGGGACCTTGAAAGCTCATTGAGTCCAGCCCCCTGCCTTCACTAGCAGGACCAAGTATTGATTTTTGCCCCAGATCCCTATGTGGCCCCCTCAAGGACTGAGCTCACAACCCTAGGTTTAGCAGGCCAATGCTTGAACCACTAAGCTATCCCTCCCCCCACTGCTTGACTCTGGCCTCTCATATTTTGCCCACAATCATTTGTCTATGCAAAACTGAAACTTGCACACACTAAGTGAATTGTTGGAATTTTGCAGATTGAAAAAATGCAATGGTGAAATTTCTGGGATAAATTTAGAGACCACTTGTGAAAATATGGCCAGAAAAAAAAAGATGATTCACTGACTGATAAGCAGTAACTGGGAACAATTTCACATTTGTGCCTTTGAAAATCTCCCCCTTCAGTTTTTTGAGATTCTTGAATAAAAGATACTACTGTACAAAAATATAAAATAGTTGTATTTTCTAATAGTTTAGTTAATAAGTTGATCTTGTTAATTTTGAATCCATCTTCAGAGTATGTATGAAGAATAGAGATGTAAAACAAAGCAAAAATAACAACAAAAGAGGGATAAAGAATAACTGCTTTTAGGTGCATTTTTATATTTAAAGTACCTTCTACTAAAACACTGTAACACGCTTTTAATGAATAACCATTCCAGATTTTCATTGTTATAAACTTTTCCCTCAGTTCTATCTAATCTCCTTAATTTTTAGACACTTAACGGTGACAGCATATAAACTATTAGTGTATGCAGTGTGGTTGTAGTTGTATTGGTCCCAAAATATTAGAGAGACAAGGTGAGCGATGTAATATCTTTTATTGGACCAACTTCTGTTGGTGAAAGAGACAAGCTTTCGAACTTACACGGAGCTCTTCTTCAGGTCTGGGAAACGTACTCAAGAGTGTCACAGCTAAATACAAGGTAGAACAGATTGTTTAGCATAAGTAGCTAACACAAATTTCAAGGGACCATTCAAGGTGAAGTGGCTCATTAACACTCTTCTAGTCAGGGGGGAAAGAAAGGGAGGGAAGTCAGCTGTAGGGGGTTGTTAGTGGTTACAGGTTGTTGTAGTAAGCCATAAATCCAGTAAAAAGAACAGGAGTACTTGTGGCACCTTAGGCCTGGTCTACACTACGAGTTTAGGTCGACTTTAGCAGCGTTAAATCGAATTAAGCCTGGACACGTTCACACGATGGAGCCCTTTCTTTCGACTTAAGGGGCCCTTTAAACCAGTTTCTTTACTCCACCTCCGACGAGGGGATTAGTGATAAAATCGGCCTTAGCGGGTCGGAATTGGTGTAGTGTGGACGGAATTTGACGTTATTGGCCTCCGGGAGCTATCCCACAGTGCTTCATTGTGACGCTCTGGACAGCACTCTCAACTCAGATTGACTGACCAGGTAGACAGGAAAAGCCCCGCGAATGTTTGAATTTCATTTCCTGTTTGCCCAGCGTGGAGAGCACAAGTGACCACGCAGAGCTCATCAGCATAGGTAACCGTGATGGAGTCCCAGGATCGCAAAAGAACTCCAGCATGGACCGAACGGGAGGTACGTGATCTGCTCGCCATATGGGGAGATGAATCAGTGCTAGCTGAACTCCGTAGCAGTAAACAAAATGGCAAAATAATAGAAAAGGTCTCCAAGGCCATGAAGGACAGAGGCCATAACAGGGACGCACAGCAGTGCCGCGTGAAAATTAAGGAGCTAAGGCAAGCCTACCACAAAGTCAGAGAGGCAAACGGAAGGTCCGGGGCAGAGCCGCAAACATGCTGCTTCTACGCGGAGCTGCATGCCATGCTAGGGGGTGCAGCCACCACTACCGCAACCATGTGCTATGACTCCGTCACTGGAGAAACACACAGGGAAGAGGGTTCGGGGTACGAGGAAGAGGAGGATGAAGATAATGTAGATAGCTCACAGCAGCAAGGAAGCGGAGAAACCGGTTTCCCCAACAGCCAGGATATGTTTATCACCCTGGACCTGGAGCCAGTAAGCCCCGAACTCACCCAAGGCGTGCTCCCAGACCCTGAGGACACACAGGGGACCTCTGGTGAGTGTACCTTTGTAAATATTACACATGGTTTAAAAGCAAGCATGTTTAATGATTAATGATTAATTTGCCCTGGCAATCGCGGCCAGTACAGCCACTGGAAAAGTCTGTTAACGTGTATGGGGATGGAGCGAAAATCCTCCAGGGACATCTCCAGAAAGCTCTCCTTCATGTACTCCCAAAGCCTTTGCAAAAGGTTTCTGGGGAGGGCTGCCTTATCCCGTCCGCCATGGTAGGGCACTTTACCACGCCAGGCCAGTAGCACGTAGTCTGGAATCATTGCATAACAAAGCATGGCAGCGTATGGTCCCGGTGTTTGCTGGCATGCAGACAACATCCATTCCTTATCGCTCTTTGTTATCCTCAGGAGAGTGATATCATTCACGGTCACCTGGTTGAAATGGGGCGATTTTATTAAGGGGACATTCAGAGGTGCCCCTTCTGCTCTGCTGAACAGAAATGTTTCCCGCTGTTAGCCACACGGTGGCGGGGGGAGGGGTGAAGTGATCATCCCCGATAATTGGGTGTGGGGGGTGGAGGGGGGGTTAGTTGGGTTTGTGTTGCATGTTAACCCGGAAACCGCAGCCCCTCCTTTTACATTGCAAACCCATTTTAAATGGCCAACCCAACGGGTGCTTGGTATGGGAAATGAGGGCACTA